CACACCCAAAAGCGTGGGCACACCGAAAGTCATGGAAGGGTCTTCTACTTGAACGTCCTCTTCCCCGAATAGCGATCCATTCGGAGAGGTGGGCTGGTCGACCGAAACACCGGCAACTTCGACAGTCGGTTCCGGCCCCTCATCCGACATTGTCTGCTCAGTCCTGAGCAGCAGTTCGTCCGGTGATGAGTCTTGGTGATGAAGGCTAGGTTTTTTGCGCCGGGATTTTGGCCGAGTCGCTGAAGCCGATAGTGGTTTCTCGACTTTAGTTATTTTGGCAGGGGTTCTATCAGGCATAGAACGTCTTAGGGTTGCCTTTCGTTTCTGGGGCCGTTCAGATTCTTCGGTCGGACGCGACTGTGACTCTCTAAGGCGTTTGCGTTTGGCGCTTGTCGGCGGTCCAATAGCATCAGTGACAGGCCGTCCTCGTCGCCGGGCAGGTTCATCATGAATTAGCGATCTGACCTCGGACTCTGAGTCTGAATCCGAAGAGATCACAGGAGTTGGAGACGGGCTCTTTGATTTGGCCTTTTGCTTGTTCGTCTTCGACCTACCTCCTAAGAAAACAAGATAAGCGATGGAATTACTCGTAAATCAGACCACGTACGTGGAGGACCTGTTGGAAAGAATTCATCATTCACGCTGAACTGAGCCAAATCCCTCCATTCTCTCCCGCCCATATTTATACGTTCCCAGAAACGATCAATGAAGTGTTGGGAGCCCTCATCGAAAGAGCTAGGGGGCTCCCATCTAGATAGATATAAAACTGAGACGTCAGAAAGCAGTAATCATTGTAAAGACACACGTGTTGTCGTCGATGCCATAGTTCTTCCACTGCCAAAGGGATCAAAACCCACGCAACGAGGGATGTGAATTCAGAGTATTACCTTCACAAGGTAGGACTTGAATAGAGCAACGGTATATAAGACACGGCGAAGAACCGAAATGGGATGAACTTACCCACTGTTTCTTGCCCCTCCGCTTGACGACTCTGGCCCTTTGGATTGCCTCTGATACATGTTCGTGAATTGTGAAACTGATGCTCAAAGAGCAGCGAGGACAACTAACCGACTTCATATTCGTTATCTCCTGTCATGTTACAATGGAATGAGCGAATCCTCCTGAAGGCGGCAACTTGGGGAAGTCTGGAGGGTCAGCCGCTGGACTCGGAGTTGAACGTTGAACGCTCAGGCGGCTACTATAAGCGCCCATGTTAATTCAGAATGGTAATTGATCGCCTATGCGCTGCAGACGCCCAGTGGCAGATGCTGGGCGAACTTAAGCTTCACTGAACCGAATCGAGCACGAGTGTTTGATAGAAGCTAGTGAACATTACACTGGTATAATACACGGCTAGTAACGATGAATCGAAAGATGATAATCGAGGAGAGAAAATGCGGGGATACATGCGTGATTAGATCGAGACCAAGATGATACGCTATCAACAGTCAAAAACACCGTCAGGGATATGTACTAATATGCAAAAGCAAAGATTGCGTTCCAGAAGTTCCAGCTTACTTATCATTCTTATATTCAGGACGCTGCAATAACCTGCCGGCAATAAGGCATTCCTTGACCCATCCAAAGTGGACATACTTGCTGCCACCATCGGGAACACGACACACATCTCCATATTCCTTCATCACCACGTAATCAAAGTCCGTGAGGTCGGACGAGGCGTACTTGATGTCAGAGACAGCTTCGACGAGAGAGGCACCCATAGCCAGAATGATGCGGGGCACCATACGACTAGATTCTTTGGCCTTTTCCGACTCCGTATTCTATTACCATATGAGCCTAACATGAGCCTAACAGAGAGTGAAAGCGCGCTCACTCGTTTAGCTCCTTTCATGGGTTGTGGCACAAAGTCCGGCGCAACGCATAATATGGACATGTCATCGAAAATTTTGGTCGCAACTGGGTTTGACATGATACCAGTAAGGTGCTCCAGGCTGTTTCCCCAATCCAAGTCGATCATCTGAGATACCCTGGCGTTCAATGGATCGCAAAAACCAGCAGGCAGTAAATGTCGCTGCCAGTCATCAGTTTGCTGGAAAATATGAGATTCAACGATACCCGTATGCTAATCTAGAACGCACCTGATCACGAGCCCGCTCGAGCCAATCGATAGATAGACAAGGGATCCCGAGTGCTAATGCTATCAGGAACTTCGGCTTCTGGTTCGCATCATCGGACAACAAAAATACGCGATCTATATCATCTCGACGTGCCCACTTGACATTGTCCTTGTGAATGACCCATCGCTTGTTGTTGGAGCTATGAGTTCCATCCATAGTGAAAACATCTAGCCAATCATCGACGACAATGCCTCCGAGATTCTTGATATTTGCCATCAGGCGGTCTTTGTCTTTGAACCAGTTGTGGTTTCCCGGACTTAACGTGACGATCAGACCTGTCTTCGCGAGCCAGCGTCGAACGTTCTTGACGGATCCAACGCTTGTTACGGTAGTCTTCGATGGCGATGAACTACCCTTGAGTCCTTTCGGTCTCACGATGGGGAGAACCATATCAGGAGTAAGGACACGATCTGTCCAGGAGCTTATGAGAGACCGCGCAGCGATCCGTACGTATTTCACCTCAATCTTGAATTCGTTTGACTCATCCCCATTGTCAGCACGAACCATGATAGATTGATCGGTCTCCAAACGTGTACTGTCCGTGACCTTGGCTTTGCAGTTATTGGGGAGCAACAAAACATTATCTCCAATCTTAAATTGACAGAGACGCATCTTGGTAATGTCGATGATATCATGGATGCCATCGTCGAAATGAACGTCGTAACGAATTGGCGTGTGAGACGCGAGAGAATAAACAGTCCCTGGATAATAATGTCCGTCCTGTTTCCAGAGCGCATACACTCGTGTGGCAGTCGATTCGACAACGGAGGGCGTCGTTTTAGCCCTCTTCTGGGGCCGCGGAGTGACTCTGGATGCCTTTGCGGACTGAGCTGGGAGTTTTGACTCTGCCTTGAGACTTTTTGTTGCGGCCCTCTTCCGCTTGCGGGCAGACGTAGATTCGGGTAGTGCATCTTGATCGACATCCATGTAGTCATCGTCGGCAAGTTCCGTCTCAACTTCTGCATCAACGTCAGGAACCACCAAGTCCGGATCCTTGCTCACTGCGGTTTCATCGTCCGAAGACCTATCTGAAGGTACGCGGCTCGACTTCCTGAGAATAGTGGATGTTTTCGTCGGAGACTTCGTTTTGGCTCGAGGAGGACCATCTCCCTTCCGTTTTCGAAGAGAGCTTACATGACGCTGGTCGACGCTTGGAATATCTTCGGTGTCCTGTTGAGGGCGGGAAGACGGTACCACCGCGATCTCAGGAGATCGATCCCATCGGCTCATACCAACTCTGGAACTTGCAGCACGCTTCCTACTCATGACAGTTTCTTCTTCCACAGCGGGGACATCTTGTGAGGTTCGTGCAGCGACGGACGGTGTTATGGATCTAGCAGGATGGGATGTGCGGCTAGTCCGTTTCACGGCCTGCCGGCGACCAGCCATGGCAGCAAGCGGAACGTCTTCTTCATCCACTTCCTCCTTATCATCCGTGAGCACTGATTCTGGGACCACTTCGTCCAAACTAGATTTGTGATCCTTTGGGGTAGGTCTTCGTAGCGCGCGCGTTGTCGGTGTAGTCGACTCAACTGGGGCATATGACCTACCAACAGGAGGAGATGGATTGTCAGGTTCTATCGGCTCAGAGTCAGGAATGATGCCAGACTCTTCATGATTTGAAGCTACTCTGGAAGGAAGCCGGCTTCTAGGTGACAGCTGTGTAACTGTCTCTGGAACTTTTGTATCAACGCTGCCATGGACTGCTCGCGCGTCTGAAGGCTGCGTGTCTTCCGCCGAACGTTCAGTGGGTTTAGACCAGCCTGCATCCGTGTACTTCCACCGTTTGTGAGCAGGCACCAAACCTAGCAGACCTTTAGGTACAGATTTTATGGTATCAGCATGAGGAATAGTATCAGCAAGGGGAGGTGGAGAGGATATTGTGGGATACTGTCGGTCAATATACGTAAAATTGTCATCGTCGCCGGCGACAGAAGCTGGATTGTTCCCTTCAACATAGCTTGCCGGCTGGGTATGTTCACCTTCGCTCGTTTGCGACGCTGGTTGGGTTGCGATCAGCGTCTCGGGTAGAGTTCCAAACGGATCCGCCTTAAGTATACGCTCATAAGACGACGACGGCTCGGTCGATGCGTCATCTGCAGGAGAAGACAATCGCATGGATGCATCACCGCCTGCTGGATATTCCTGCCCCAAATCTCGCCCGCTCTCATATCCATAGTCTCGGGGTTGCGCTTGGCCGTACGATTCGGTGAGCTGGGTATCCCCGCCGTATTGATACGAACCTGCGTCTTGTGTAGGTGACATCTGTTGAGCGTAGTCATTCTGTGATTCCTCTGAATGGGAAGATGTTGGCGTCGCAGCGATACACATTTCAGCTGCACGCGAAGGAAGCTGTGGAGGGACGAGTGCACGATATATGTCGTCATTTCGAGGAGAGTGTGCCATAGACCCCCCGTCAGCACCAAGGCTCAAACTGCCAAGCTCGGATAACGGAACGTTGAATGTTTTCGTGTTTTCGAGAAACATTCTCTCGGGATCCTGACAGGTAAGAGGGGCAACAAACGAATCCTGTCTCGCCAAAGGCAACCTCCGCTGCGGGCGCGACTTCGTGGAGACAGGAACCGCTGCTAAATGGTCACTATTCCGCGTGTGTGGCGTACGGTGAGTGGTAGAGAAAGGTGAAGCTGAGCTTGTCTTTGATGGGGCAAGTCGATCGTCTTGTCTGCGAGAAGCCCGTGACCTAACCTCCTTTATGAATGGGAAATGACCAAGTGGTACAAAGGAAACTCAGTCTTTTGACATCGGTCCATATGGCAACACGACTGACCTCGGGCATGACAGCATCCTCACACTTCTTCGACACGTTTCCACCGGCACGTGGAGAGGGTGACCTGGGAGAGCGAGGTCGACCACCTTTGAGAGTGCTTTCTTTCCGCGATCCCTCGCCACGCAGCCTGTTTTCTACCTGTGACTCCGTCTGGGTAGAAATGAGGCCATGGAAATGAAATTGTGAGTGGCCTGTTCGATTTCCTTTGTCTGGAGAACCTTCATGAGATCTTATATTGCTTCGAGGTGAGTCAATGCCGTCGCGGTGACGTTGTCCTGGCACAACTGTGATTCCCTGAGGCAAGACGGCCCGGAGTAGCTGGCTGCTCTGAGAGTCTGTGGTTCTGCGCGCACGAACGAAGCGTGTTCGGACTACTACCTCTAATTTTGGACAGAAACATGCAATGCTTACCTTGATGGAGACACGTCCATGGGCCTTGACCTCAGTGTATTGCCGTTGTCCTAGTCCCACACTTCACAGAAAAGAGTAGATATGAACTGTATGACGGCGAACAAGTATGGCTCAGCCAGAAGTAGCTGTTTCGATACTCAAAGCTCGCGCCGCGATTAGAGAGAGGCGGAATGAGACGAGAATTGCAGCGCGAAATCTTCAAGAATACCGACACAAAATAGTGTCGTGTCTTCCCTTTCACGCAGCCGAGGGCTTGCACAATTTGCATGCACTCAGATTCCAGGCGCGAGTGCGACGCGATCCAGGGAGCGAAATTCCAGGGACCGCTGTGGACGCCACTGCCGCGACGGCCATTGGTCACGAGACCCTCGCATCCCGGCGGAAGGCGCGTTCCAACTTCAGGTCTCCAACAATCTGTTTTCTTGCAAGCGCCATCGCCGACGGTCTCAGTTCTTGGTGCTGGTTGCTGGACTAGACTGCGCGTATTCTTTGGTTCACTGTTGTCTCGTTGCGTAGCCACTCTTTTCCAACTACTCTCCTTTTTCAGATGATATACAAAATCTCCCGCCGCGGCAGCAGCCAATCTGACAGGGTACGCAAAAAGAAATCGAAACAACAGGTTCAGTCAATTGACTTGCAAGAGCAGCTCCAGAATGCTGAGGGCGGTCTAAGCTCCAGGATTGTCAAAGGTACTAATACCAAGACAAAAGAGCTTGGAGCGACCCACAAACCTACGCCGAAGGTCACCTCGGATGTCGATGTAAACGCTGTGCCTGATCCTGTTCCTGAAATCACAGGCTTACCCCCTACAACCTCACTGTCAAGTGTCTTTACTATACACACTGGCTTTTTGCCTATGATGCCTGCTACTGGAGCTCTGAGCGTCCCCACACAAAGCTCCGGGTTCTCTCCGCTACCCCCTTTCCCCTCATTTACAGGAGCGACTATCACGGCAGCTGCATCTGTGACATCTACTATTTCGTTGGCTCAGGAAACTTCATTCTCCTCCTCGGTCACTCCTCAATCTCAAGGACAGTCTCAATCTCCCAAACATATTTCTACCGTGATCATAGCCCTGGTCACAGTTGGCGCTGCGTTTCTGTTGCTTGGCATTTGTATAATTATTAGGACGTGCCGCAGACCCCGCAGACGCTTTTGTCCTACTCCCTCCTTACCGATCCTTCAGGACGTTTTCACTGACCGATCTTCTAATGATGACGAAGAGTCCCTCTTTGGCGGGAAAGAACGGATTTCGGGGCGCCCTGGCAGCAACGGCCTATGGACCTGGACGCAATATTCTCATCCCTCATTGACTAAAGCAGAAGCTATCCGCCCGCAACAAAATCTGCCGTCTGCCCTCACATCAGAAAACAATTATTCACGACAGGTACCAGACGTCGTATCCAGCGATAAACGTAAACCCACTGCGTCGGCTCTGGTGACCACCCCAGGAACTATGCCTCTGTCTCCCTCTCAGACTACGCCCAGACTAGCTCCACGTTCAACAAAGCGACAGTCCGTTATGTCTATGTCGATTTATCCAAGCTCTCCGCAATCAACTTTTGTCGGCGGCGGCATCGGTATTGCCGTTGGAAGCGCCTCTCCGCTTACAGCTGATGGTCTCTCTGTACTCCAACGGAGTGCATCCAAGGTTTCTGCTCGTCGACTCTCAAGGAATAGGAGAAGTGTTCAATACAGCAAAGAAAAGACTGAGACGGTATATCAGGACGACCAAAGCATCTATGGCGGGCTTCAAATCGCAACACCTGTGATAGCGGCAACAGCCACTACCCTTCGGAAGTCAGGATCAATTCCAGGACGTGCTCGTGTCAAAACCCCATACGCGCCTGGTGCTCTTCTCCGTGCCTCCTCAACTGTTGCTGCTTTTGGCACTGCTGTCTCGAATCCATTTGACGATGTACAATACATCTTGCCGCCGGTGTCTCCTGCGCTGAAGACTGATGCGCTGAGGGAGCGCGATACGAAGGCTCTCACGTGTGCGCTAGGACTAGACAGCCCTCCCCCTACATCTCCTCAGCCAACCATTTATCCTGATGATTCCATCACGTTAGGTGGTGATCGACGCACTACGCGGAATTCCACGAAGCCGCGCCCGCATAGCCAAGCTCTGAGTCCTGGAATGGAAGCCAGTGCACGCCTAGGTAACTTAATGCTCGCGGAATTCTCTAGCATGGGATCTCTAGCGTCCACTCGCACGCTCGCGGCTGCTGGCGATGGGTGTGGCGTTGTACGAAACAAGAATACGAGGAAGATGGACGACAGACCTCCTCGGGTACCTTCGCCTCCCCCGATGCCCTCTCTGGCTCAGATGGCGCTGGCGCACTCTCACCCTGAGGAGTTTACGGATTACCGAAGTCCAACATATAGTATTTATGGACTATACGAAGCTGATCGGAAGAGTCGGGCCCCAGGAGAAGGCGGATACTGAGAATCGGCGACAGACTTACGCTGGGACATTGTTAGATTTGTATCAATACTTCGCCACACGATTGTATTTCGAGCACAAGACATGTATAATGCATATTGTTTAAACTATGTTGCCGATTTCCGACAGGTGCAATTATATATATACAAATGCGAATGATCCAGGTCATTGAGCCAATGGCTCGCTAATCGGTTCTATTTCGTCGTCGGTGAGCACTTCACCTTTGTTCATAGTATCCGACGGTGCACGCAGCGCCTTTGAGACTAGTCGCTCTTGTATGGCTTTGTGTCCCTCATCTTCGAGCCGCTGCCTTTCCACCTTGACCTTCTCCGCATTCTCTTGTTCTGCGGCGGCCACCAACCGTTTCAACTCTTCCTCCAGATCGGAATCATCAATACCAGCCTCAGCTTGTGTCATGACGACACCCATGCGAATGACATCGTCAATTTCCTTCGCATCGGCATTGGCGGATGCCAGTGCATCCATGGTATCGTCGATTCTTTCTCGCTGTAGCGAAGGATGGGCGAGGATTGCACGGAGGGTGGCGGTAGAAGATTCGTAAGATTTTATGATCTGTTGATTCAAACAAATGTGAATGCTTTGAGTCGAATTCAACTCGAACTCCCTTACTTCGACGTCCCCTGCTGATGCCTCTACGCGGTGAAGGGTGAATTGCAGCGTATCCAGAGAATTAACGCGTTTACTGAGCAGATCTTCTAGCTGCTTTTTGGTCCGTAAATGACTGAGTGCCACCTCTTTTCGCTTTTGACGGAGAGCTACAGAGACCTGCTGAGAACGACTATATGCATATCATGAGCAAAAGCGTGTCACAAATGATGGTCAAACGTAACCGATCTATCTGTTTTTGGAGACCATCAATCTGTGCTTGCAATTTGGTGAGGGCGGTCTTTATCTCCAGCAATCCCTCATCCACTGGAGTGATATCTCGTGATTGCGCGCCACCAGTCTCTACGAACTTCATTACCTAGAGATCACGTCGTATTAATTATGAACGTATGCGCCCATCACAAGAGAAAACGCACCTCTTTCTGAATGACTAGAACCTTCCTGTCACGTTCTAAGAACTTTATGAGCACTTCTACATCCAAGTCTGAAAGCATGACGTCGTCAAACGCCTGATTGGCGAACTCCCTCCGGAAGCTATCCAAGCTGTATAGCGGATCAGCTAGAGAACCGGTCGTCTTATCTCGTTGTCTCTGTATAATGGCATCGGCGGCCTGCTCTACCAAGCTTAACACAACATAGTCGCCCTTTACTTTCTTCCACTGATCACCGTAGCCAGCGTGACCTAGTGCATCTTCTTCGTTGCTTACAATGTTGAGCTGCTGTAACGCCCACCATAATGGCTTTCCGACAACATACGAAGCTATTCGGAAGGGTAACCATCCCGGGTCATATACGGAAGTCGACGCGCTGAGAAATTCAGAAAGTGGGAAAAAGGCTTTATGCTCGCAGAGCTCCGTCTACACTAGTGAATGTTCTGATCAACATTGTAACAGTAGCAAATCAATCCAGGCGTTACTTACTATTATTGTTGGCAGGCTCAATGGCTTGCCTACGCCCTCCAATCTGAAATCCTCCGAAAGCGCAGCCCCACTAGCATGCAGAATGAGCCTTTCTGACCTCGCGGGAGATTGTCCCATCCGATGCGAAAGTGATCCCTTGCGAATAACATCCTCCAGTGTTCTCCGCCACCACTCAATATTTGAAGAGTAAGACAATGGGTTTGAGTGCTTTTGTAGAGAAAAGTCGGAATACAGATATTTGAGACGTGACGTTGATGTAGAAGAATAGGTGGGTAGACTTGTGAGCTGAGATGTAGACATAGAATTTATAAAATGGAGACTGAGTATACCTCAAGTCAGAGTGAGTAGCCTAGCCTCCGAAGTGTGGACCACTTTATGGCTTGCGAGGCGCCCGCAACAGCTCACTTACCGTCACGGTGGCGCACGATCTGCGGCGGGCGAAATCAGATACTGCACTCTAGCAGCATACAACATTCGGCATCCAGTACGCGCTAATATAACAGCAGTGTACGTGAATAACACCATCCTCGTACAGCCACAATAACGGTATAGCAATGACACTAACACAACATAAAAGCTAAACGACGAGATGACTGGACGAGTAACTGACAGCAATACGACATTGAGAATTGACGGACAAACGAGACGATAGCAAGCGATAGCTAGACAATATAGCGACGAGGAAGATTTGCACAAACGACAGCGATCTTCATGACGAGGAGCCGGGGGCCCTTCAGGAGCGACGAACACGAGGGTCGTCGCTGGGACTTTCCGTGGGCGGAGACACAAGAGGGACAGTAAATCCAGGAGGACTGGGCGTTTGAGTCTTGACGATGACCTCAGGGGACTCAGAAATGTCTCGGACGAGATGACGCTCCTGGAGTATTAGCGGGTCAGAAGTGGCTCGGGGTTTTATCTCAGATAGACCAAGTTTTCGGACGGTCGTCGTGGCCGAGCTTGTGAAGGACCGTGCCAGAGGGCTCACAGAAGGATATCCGAGACTGTTCATGGTTGGTTTCAAAGATAGGTTCGTAGACGGGTTCAACGGAGGGTGTGTGGGTGAGTTCACAGAAGGGTTTGCGGCTAAGTTCACCATAGTAGGTCTTGTTGCATGGTTCACAGGGGGTTTCATGAGTGGATTAATGGAAGGCTTTGCAGGATGATTTCCCGATGAAACGCTCTGACACATGATGAGAGAGATGACTATGTATTGCATGGTTATACTCACTCGACCAGTGGACTGAAACGACGACTTGGGGTGCGTCGGTTCAGGACTTGAGCCAATGGAGTAAAGGGATGACTCCGACTTGGTAGACAAAGCTGGTGTGACCGGGGGTGTCAACTCTGGACCTGTAACCGAGGCAGGTAGCGGGGCCGGAACAGATACGCTACTTGATGCCACAAGTGGGAGAGGTCTATATATCGAGGCCTTTTGCGACATTATCCCCTGAGCCATGAGAAACTCTATGCATACAATATTAGAAATGTCCAATTTAGATGTATCTACATTGATCGGACATACCACGGGACCTATAACGAAAGACAAAAGTAACATACGTTCCCGGGTTTTGGGGGTCGTAAGGCTGAACAGACCAAGTGGACTCCATTTGCATGAATGCCTGTCTCTCTGCGCCAAAACTATGAACCATAAGATAATCATCCAGTAAATGACTACACTTCAAATCACCTAACGCAAGGTTCGTCTTTTGATGGTCTATCCCGAGCCGGAGGGGGCGGTTGAACAAGAGCATTGGAGTTACGCGTATCCTTTCGTACGATGCGTTTGATTTTGACAACGATGGTACCAGCATCGTTCGTGCCATTCTTACCAACAGTGGGTTTTGTATCTACGTCTTAAACACAGTCAGCGTTGCACCAAGTGGATGCCAGCTTCGAACATGGTACTCACCTTCCAGGACTTTGATGAAGAGAAATGGCCTCTCCAGATCGCGAGCAACGCGTACAGCAGATCGATGCGCTTCGCCTCTGCCGTAAAGGAACCGTCCAGGAACTGAATGGCCATCCAGTTTGAGATAGGTCGCAGTGTCTATATTGTTACCATGGTCGCGCCAGTGCACCGTGAACGACTACTGATGCGGTCGGCTTTGAACATGCTAAGACAGAGCTGTGCTTACCTTCCCCTCTTCGCTTGGAATCCAGCACGATATCTTACGCGCTTGCATGTTTACAACGGGTTCGTACTCGATGATCTCCCTGCCGTCGCAGGTAATCCACGCAGAGTAATTGAGATGAGTGATCATGTTGTGGAGAGGATGAATTGAGCCAAAGCCAACCGTCCAGGGTCCTCTATATATATGGAAAACATCAACGCATTGTTTCTGGATTCTGTGGCCGATGACAAAGCGCACCCTGCCACACGAAGAGCACTGCTCACCAGTAGTTGGACCTGCTGGAAGGCAAGCCGTCCGCCCTCGTCCCACCCCGTCCGCGATGATTGCGCGCCGTGCAGGCCCGCTGCAATATGTCACGTACGTACGAGAGCTTTGGGCCACGATGGCGCTCAGCAAGCCTAGCTTGCGCTCCTGCAGAGTTTTCTCAACGTTTACCAGTCGAACATCGCGTGGGAGAATTCAGAATTCAAGCCCCGCGCGTTGTGGGCGCGACGCGTCTAACATGTGACCGCATCGGCTTTATCACGCCCCCACAACACCAGAATTGAAATTCAGAGGTCACCAGCTCAGTGAGAAATTAAAACATACTCATTAAGCTTGAACCATCAGCAATGTTCACTCTGTAACATTGCGCATGGACTTTCGGTATCATGTCGAGTTTCCTCGGAAATTGGCCACCAAGAGACCATTGTGTGCGCAACGGTCGTTATGCTGCAACTTGAGGCACTGAGACTTTCTAGCCGGCGTCCATTGTGCCTACTGCGAGAGGTTGCTATGGGAAATAATGGTCGGGTGCTCGGGACGAAGGGAAAGCCGCAGCGGAATCCGCGAACAATGGAACGCCTCGTGCGGGCCAGTCTTGACGAATTTCAAACCGAAACGACTAAATACCAGTCTAACGTCTAGTACCAAGAACTTACAGCGCGCAGGGCTTCCGCTTCGTTTTCATGCGTGGTCCAGCCTCTGTCAAGTCTTAGTTTGGCCTAACACTGGCAAGGCCAGACTTGTTGTGCTCATCTTTTGGTATATTTGTGAATGCAATATCTTATTGCACTTGTGCGCGTGCAGCACTGTTCACGAGTTACTGGTCGCAAACCAAGGGAGATTAACGGTTGCGCAGGCCTTCCACCACCTTCAACTTTACTTGTCTATCGTTGCTTAATTTAGTGTTTGCTTAGACGGTGACCGTTTTTTGAATTCAAGATGGAGATACGAGTGCGAGAAACATCTGTAAGAAACTTGACAATATTGTATTTGCTGGATAACCCCATAACTCTATCCACGGCTAGAGAAAATTACTAAGGGACAAGTAGACGGGCACACAAAGCCTGCAGGAGCAAAAGGTTGCAGACAGTATCTGCTCTACTCACAGGAGACTACAACGCGCGGTGGTTAAGACTCACCCCATCCCAGTGACAACACTACTATGACAGCAATAATACACTTTTCTCAGGTCTCGATATCGATCGGTATGCTCCCCTCCCCCCGGGCCACTCACTGCACTAGCCGCATAGTAGGGAAACTAGGAACATCTCATTCTGATATCTCATGCACAGCGATTATCGTAAGCTTCCCACTTGTGCGCATACGTAGTGTACGGTCGGTAAGATTATCCTCATCATCGAAGGTGACTAGCCCCAGTAAGTATACAGCTTGCATTCTTAGTAGTGACATCGCTGGAGGAAGTTTATGTACAAGCTCTCTGTTAAGGATCGGCTGTCGGAACCACCAGGTGACCGTCCAATCCATGTTACTGGGAAAGGCCGGCCAAAGAGTGGACCGTAGAGTTCTTCTGAGGCAGCCAAGAGATGGAAATTCGTCTGGATTGGACGAACCAACATGTGGTATACCGGCGCCTGTGTAGTTGTTAAAAGATGAGTATGCTTTCACGCAAACCTTGTATATAATGGCGTATCGTTAGGGCAGGTTCCGTGGACTCGTACTTATTGTCACGCCAGCGGCCAGTCTCGTTGACTCAGTAGCGCTCTTCTTTCGACGTCTATCATCTATGACCCGACACGACGATTAAAATAAGTATGACATTATCATTGAAACATGCCTGGTATGCCGTCGGAAGTAGTCTCCAAATGAGAAGACATCTTGGAGCTAGCGCGAACCCTGCGGGTCGGCACCGGCTTCTCGCAGTGAGAGTGGTTAGTAAGTCGTGTTCGCGATAGGTCAGTTGATATAGTCAGCGCACGACATTTTGCTCATCTTGAACGAAGACGGCACGCCTGGAGATAAAGCCTCTAATCATGATAATGCGTTCCTGGAAAGCATATATAGCGACCATTGCAGCCAGCATGGCCGTCCTCTCTCTCTTCCGACGCTACTCGCAGCAAGCTTTTAACCAGACCTCGCGCGCCGCCATGTCATCTCCGACGCTTACCCTGAACGATGGTAACACGATCCCCTGGCTAGGATTCGGGACCGGGACTGCGCTGTATGGGAAGGATGCGGAGAACGCAGTTCGCACTGCCATTGACAACGGTGTCATTCATCTCGACGGAGCTCAAGTATACAGGAACGAGGAGTCTCTCGGCGCAGCGATCGCCGCATCGGGCAAGCCCCGCTCATCGTTGTACATCACCACTAAGCTCGAGAAAGTTCCCGCTGGGCAAACTGTCCACGATACACTCGTAGTTTCCCTGAAAAAACTTCAAGTCGACTATGTCGACCTCTTCCTTATCCACTTCCCCATCAACCATGAGCAGCCGTTAAGCACCTTATGGAAGCAAGTGGAGGATGTGCAGAAGGAGGGGTTGGCGAGGAGCATTGGTGTCTCGAACTTCCGGGTCAAAGATTTTGAAGCGATCTTGCCAGAAGCTACCGTTATTCCCGCGGTGAACCAGGTGCGTCTTGCAGTCAAATTACCTTTCGTAGATGTGCTGACTTCCTTTGGCAAGATCGAATACCATCCCTATGTATTCAAAGCCGACCAGCCAGTAATTGAATACATGAAGGCGAAGAACATCCTTCCTACTTCTTTTGGCGGCCTTTCTCCCATTGTGCGCTTCAAGGGTGGCCCGGTAGACCCAGTGCTTACGTCCATTGCGGAACGGTTGAGCAAGACAGTTGGCAAGACCGTCACTGAGGGCCAGGTGCTACAGCTTTGGCTGAAGACGAAAGGGATTCCGGCAATCACGTATGTTAGAGCTCGATTCTGACAAAATTTATCCACTGACTAGCGCATCGTCTTGCGCAGGACAACCTCTAAGGCCGAGCGCATTCACGAATACTTAGCAGTTCAGTCGCTACCTAATCTTACGGCGGAGGATGTGGCAGCAATCGAAGAGGCCGGCTCGACAGTTCACCATCGGCAATTTGTATGTGTCACCTCACTCGCTGCACATATTGATCCATCCACTGATACGTGTCTATAGGCGAAGTTCTTTGACGACTAAAGATTCAGAGAGGTTGTTAGAGATGGAATAGCTGTACGAATCAAACAAATTGTAGCATATTGACTCGTGTACTGCAATACAAGTACAAGTTGGTTGTCGCATTGTTTGTATGTACAAAAGACAAGCAGATGTACTAGTCAAGACTTGTGCGCATCTTTGAATCAGACTTGAACAGAGCCTACATGTGTGATTAGCGTTATGTGTCTCCTTAGTAAACTCTTGTCAACTAATTTCACCAAGTTGTCATTTCCCGTCGGTCTTGGTATGTTTTCCAATGGGAAGAGGGGGCGAATATTCTCCCAGTAAGGCGCTTAGAAAGAGGGGGCTGCAGCATGGAATTGCAAGCATGTATACAGCCTCCCCAGGTGTCGATGTCGATACAAAAGTAATCAATATTCGAATTGCTTTGATCATTCTTCGCCTTACAGATGTTGAAGGCTGCGAGGATGGGGGACATCGGCGGCCTGGGATATTTGCGCGATATAGTTCTCGCGCAATCCTTTCCTGGGCTATGATAGGCATGGGTCAAGCGACATGTAAAGCCAATACAAAACGTCCCGAAGGAAACAATGTGATCCCCCATGGTCTGATTTGCGTTTACTGAAGGCTGAGGGAAGCCACTTACCGGACCATTTGCCACTCAACGCAGCAGAACCATGGTTGCAACTCGGAGGAGTCTGGTGCGACTAGTCTTTTCACAGCGTGCTAGAAGCGAGACCAGGATGGAAGGGGGCAAGCCATGTGCTTATCTTTTGCGATAAGTATTGAGTAGAACACCAAAGGCACTCCATACGGGCAAGAGCCACAGAATTTGGCTGCATGTAGGGTTCATACCCGCGTCTTCTGACGCTCTCGCAAAATACACGATTTGATACTCAAAGCCTGGACTCCGCTTTGAGCATTGCCATGAACGCACGAAAACTATAAATCCTCTTCCATTCAACCAACTGAATTGAACATAATCTAAATGCACACCTTGGTATATGCATCACGATCTGACGCCGGGTCGCGACAGTTCGTACGTGTTTGAACGGGTGAAGGCTGGAGTTCTGGGGTCCTGTAATTTTTTACTGTCCCCAAACGTCACATCATGATTTAACGGTGAGGTTGCCAATAAACAGGCAATCTAGTTGCAATCCAACGGACGGCGTCTTAAATTCCGAGCAATCAGCGCAGCCCTTGCAGTGGAACTACTAGCGTGTGGACATTAAGCATGGAAAAATGATGCAGCCTGGAAGTACTAACCCGCTTAGGAACTATACCAGGCCGGCGCGCCTCATCGTCTTGTAGTTGTGGCAGTCAACCGGCAGTCTGGCGGAGGCTAGGAGCCAACGCATAACTCCAGGATGTTCTAAGCTCGGATAATGTCATATCTCGGTCCTCGTCATCACGGAACAATGATCTGGCTGTCCTCGTCTTCAGCGGCAGAACAGGTCCACATGGTTCCAGGCCACATTACGAGACAATCGAACAGGCTGGATTGACTCGCGAGAAGACAAAATCGAGAAGTATTTGTGAAACTAGACAACGCAATATAGGTCAGAGAAAGGAGATCCTCTACATCCACCTTTTGCAATGTTCATCGAAAAGCTTGCGGATGGAAGGTTCGTAAGTGTCGCACATAGAGAGGGGCGGTATTACGAACATGTTCCAACAGGGCGCCGGCGTATCTTGGGATGCGCTTTCCGTATCATGATGAACTACTGACAACAAGTCTGTAAACGCCGCTGTGATATCGAGCAAAAGTGGAAACCTGCCAGTTTACCCAAGTTCATGTCATGGTTGTCTAGCTGATATTATTCAAAACTGACATTCAAATTACCATCAGTCAATCAAGCCGGGGTGCCAAGTAATGGCGGTGAACGAACCAACGGTCGAATGTCAGTGACGTGCTATGAAAAATGGCGCAGCCTCGTGCACCACTCGAGGTCCTATTCATCGGGTTCGCTATTCACGTCGAATCAAGGACTTCCGGGCTATTGTCAGTGAAAAAGAGATATCAAGCTGCTTTTACAAACTTCATCATAACGCAGGCGAAGGGAGGCCATTCTGGGCTGATGCCTAATCATTGTCCGGTCGCATGTGGCGCCATGTTGGCCGCGCTAGTTACGATAGTTACTCTCGGAATTAGGTGGGATCGGACTGCGGAAATGCCGGTCGGATCGCCGCGGCGATGAAGTTTGCGGATATAATGGATATCATAACCTGGTGTCGCAACTACCTTTACTGGAGTTGGCGTCAGATTAATGTCGAGTGTGCATTTGGCGCGTACGCACCCTGATGGGCAACCTGGGTCCTGATGGGCAAGCGTTGTCGGCCGAAATCAAGTCTGCCGAGTTCGACAGGCAGCAAGGACAGTATGTGTTATGACTGTCCCCTAGCTTGTGGCTGTTAGAGAGGCTTCAATGAAACACCCGGGCTTAGCCACCGCTACTTTGTACAGACACATATTGATGAGCCGGTGCCTATCGGTCCAGGCAATGTATTTCAATAGATTGTCTAGGTACAAAGACCTTGCTGATCTCACCATTGGGGGAAGTTCTTCAGGTTGAGTCCAGCACAAAAGTGGCAGTTATCAGTGGGCACTGTTGCACGTACGCTGGTTGCTCAGAAGCCGCTGTGATTCAGTAGCGTTTAACAGTAGCCGGAGCGCTTCCAAGTTCCGGGGCGCCTACGATAGGTATTTTTTCCTGTCCTACGAGATCGTCGCCTGCGATGAGTAGCACGACATTTCTAACATCAAGATATCAACCTGAGCATCGAAAACCATCAGATAGAAAATGCTATTCAGGCACCAAAGGCTTCTCTCAGTTTTCAAACGTTATAGCTACCGCCACATTGCTGCCGCTGCCCCCGGTCGCGGGTCGCTCTCCCCAAGACGCCCCAGGGGCAGGACGTGATGCACCCCTCGGTCATTGACAGGAATTGAAAATCTTGTTGACAGCGATCTGGACAAGAGCGAACTTTTGCACTAACACCCAAAATCAGAGAGACCATGTACAGACGGTGGCAACGATGTGGCTTTAGCTCTTATCCACGTCGTGCGCTCGTCTTTCGTGGGGCGCGAATATTATTGCTAAGTGCATGCAGAGAACGCTGGGTACTATCAGCGCGCTGATATTTTCGAGATAGAGGCTGCAAGGGGGCACACGTTATCGTTCCATGTCTTTGCCCAGGGCGACAGGCGCGCGCCACCATCATGTTCGCGTTCCATTTCCTGCGGATATGCCTGTCTTTGAAGATAGCAGAACCGAACTTGCGGCTGCTTGTCTGGGGTCCATCCTCTGCTCCAACTGTAAATTGTCTAGATGCTATATTGCATGCTTGCGCTGCTTGGATATCTCAAACCTTTGACGACGGAATGATTTAGCTGTGTTGGCCGCGCGTTTGCCCCTCAGTTATAAACTCTTCTAGTTGACTCTGTGAGTACTGCAGTTCCGTCCTTTGCTATCCTCCTCACAATGATACACAAACAGCCTCTAGATGGTGTTCCTCGCGATGCCCCCAGCTACACAAATCCGGACCCGAGCGCCGTAGCTATCGTCGGTGAGTGCATCCGAAGCTACCTCCTTGTCGTGCTCGATAACGTTTCCCTCAATAGGCATGTCCATTAGTGCACCAGGCGGTGTTGACCATGGTCTCGATATCGAGCAATTTTATGCCTTCCTCCAGAACCGAGGATCCGCCATCATTACCGTTCCTAGTGACCGATGGAACGCAGATGCCTTTCATGGCACTGGGCCAGGAAAGATCTCTACCGTAATTTTTTATTTATCTCCTTGACTAGCACACGGTCACTGATTGATGTACGATAGACCAAGGGAGGATTCATTCCTAATATCAGTTATGCCGATCTTCAAGAGTTTGGTATTACTCCTGTGGAAAGTCAACAAATAGCTACCTCCCAAATGGCTTTGTATGTCACTGAAGCCAAAATACAAGGTCCCTCCCTATGGCTAATCCACTACATAGGCTCCATCAATCATTCACGGCGTTGCAGCGCAGTGGAATCGATTATCGTGCTACAAACACTGGAGTTTACGTTGGCTGCAGTGAGCTGTTTGTTCGCTATGATTATTACAGTAGCATTGATCATCTGGGCACAGCATCTAGTGAAGGAACCGTGTTCGAAATGGACGTGGCACAGGCGGGACGTATGTATTCTCGTCATTCTTTCTGGTGGCCGCTTATCTCAACCAACTTTAGCGTATTACATGACTGGAACGACCAACTCGATCGCTGCAAACAGATTGAATTACGTCTTTGACCTGCTCGGTCCTTCCATGCCCATAGATACTGCGTGCTCGTCCGCGTTGACAGCGATGCATGTCGCCGTCCAAGCCGTCCGCAACGGTGAATGCGACCAGGCCGTAGTAGCCGGTGTCAATGTCGTTCGGAGCGCACTCGAATACGTGGCGTTCAGTCAGTTGGGTGTGCTCAGTCCTGATGGCATTTCCAAGTCCTTTGATGAAGATGGTAATGGGTATGCTCGTGCTGATGTCGGTATGTTGTATACTTTCACGCTCCTTGCACAACCATGTGACGTAAGCATTTTGTCGCAGCTAGCGCAGTTGTTATTAAGCGCCACGATCTTGCCGTCAAAGATCGTAACCGCATTCACGCGACACTTGTCGGCACGGCCCTGACATCATGCGGCTCCATCATGGGTTCCCTCACAACCCCGAGTCCCGAGGCGCAGGCTTTGGCGATTCGGCGTGCGTATCGAGATGCTGGCCTTGAACCTTATCAAGCAGATTTCGTCGAGCTCCATGGCACAGGCACGCTTGTCGGTGATTCGACAGAAGCGAATAATGCCGGCGCCGTCTTTGCCGCAGGGAGGGATGCCAGAGAGATCCTCATCGGGTCGGTGAAGAGTAATGTTGGCCATGGTGAGCTGGGGTGAGTGTTCTCATACCTTCTAAAGGGCCTCTTGAGCTGATCTCCCTGTATGAAGCGCGTATATGACGTCATTGGTGAAGGTCTGAAACTTTCAGGACTCGTTCGAAAGTTTTCTGGTAGTAATCGACTTTCTTTCAGGTCGCCATGATGTTGGAAAAGAAGCAAGTCCTCCCTAATGGCTACTTCAAGACGCCATCGTCCCGAATTGATTTCGAGAAGTTCAAGCTGCGTGTTCCCGTGTCTGTTGAGGATTTTGTACCTGGAAATACCCAACTTGGTCGGATTGCGTCTATATCTAGTTATGGATTTGGAGGTTTGTGCTGCGCTCAAGTTCGCGCTTCTCTTGAATCTAAACATTGTGCACTCATCAGGTGCTGGTGGTCATACTGTTCTACGTGAACACGAACCAAGGCCTACTTTACCTGATCACATTACCTTGCAAGAACCACTGTATCTCTTTGCGGTTGGTAAGTACCTGGCCCGACCACCGTTGTCTTATTTGCTGATATTGGAAAAGGCGCCTTGTCGCTGAAGGGATGCGTTACCCTTGGCGAAAAATACAAGGAAGAGTGCGCTGAAATCGACCCTCTCGCCTTGTGCGAGCACTTGGGGAACCGTGCACGTCAGCTCCCGTGGAGATCGTTCGCGATCGCCGAATCCATCGAAGCAGCAACATTTCCCGAACCGGTCCTCGTACCTAAACGTCCCCATCCTGTCGTGTTTTGTTTTTCAGGCCAGGGTCCTCAACACTGGAAGCAAGGCCGGGAGCTCTATAGTACTTTCAAGGTGTTCCGGGACAGTATTGATGAGTGCGATAAAGTGCATGCTGGGTACACAGGAGAGTCTTTCATCGAGACGACAGGCTTGTTCAAGACAGATGCTCCCAAGGACTCTGGACTGGCCAGGAGCTTGATATGGCCTTCTGATATCACTTCCATTTCTCTCACCTTCTTCCAGATTGCGCTCTTTGATCTCTTGATCTCTCTGAATCTCAAGCCAGATGTGATTGTGGGGCACTCAGTCGGAGAGACAGCAGTCTTATATGCATCAGGCGCAGTCCCACGCAGCGTATGTACGCTACACTGCATGCTTCACAGAAGACTAACGTCATATTTGTCTCCTAGATGGCCGTGAAAATAGCGATCGCTCGTGGAAAGGCTCTTGCCACGGTTGACAACACTGGCGGCGGTATGGTGGCCGTTTCAGGATGTGACGCAGAGAAAGTGCGCGATCACGCGGAAACGGCAATCACACTAGCTGGACTGGATGTCGATTCTGCGGGTAGGCCCCCACTATTCCTCGCGTCATTCAACAGCCCTACAGATATAGGTGTGTCTGGTCCCGAGAAACATTTAGAAGCATTCGCAAGTTTCATCGAGAGGTGGGTGAGCGATGTCGTTGCACGCAAACTTCGCATCAATACCGCTGTCCACTCTGCTTTTGTCGATCCCTGCGAGTCGCAATACCGCCGAGACCTAGCTGCTATCTTCGCAGAGTATCCAGGTCCTCACATCCCCAAGATTCGGACGATGTCCACGGTCACAGCTGAGTTCAAAACAGATTCGTATACACCCGATTATTTGTGGAGCAACCTCCGCCAGCCTGTGCTCTTCTCTTCGGCAATCCCCAAAATAATTGAGAGTCTTGGGGAATCAACCACATTCGTTGAAGTATCTCCCCATCCAGTCCTCTCCCAGGTAAGTGATCGCTTTGATATACTCACCCGAATTCCTGACTCAACGATGGGCACAGTACCTTAAGCAAATGGGCGCCTTTGATGCCCTCGCCTGCAGCAAACGTCCGCCATCTGCTCGTCATATAAAACCTGGATTGAGCGCTTTGGTAGAAGTTCGCACATTATTGGAAGTTTTGGGACGTTTGCTGTTATTCGGCGTCAATAAGGTTAATTGCCCGCTTGTCTCGAAAACCAGCTGTTTTTGACCATGTTATGCATCGGCCACAGATCAACTTCTCGGAGCTCACTGGGTGTCCCGAAACAAATATTGAGGGCCCCTCATATCCGTTCCAGCCCAAGTTATGGCGCATGGGCATGGATGAACCATCGTACATTCGTAAGCTATTACCCGCGGAACGGCCTTTGAATTCGATCCGACTACGCGTCAGCCCCATTATACCTGAGCCATGGATGGGCGACCATGTCATTGATCATACCGTAGGCAAATTTGTTTGCGAGTTGTTTCCACTGATTTATCATTCAAAATTCAGAATCTCATTCCCGCGGCCGCCTACCTCGAGATGGGCATGGAGTTCCCCGGTGTTACTCAACTGTACGATTGCCGTTTTGAGGCCATGTATGTCCTGGACGAGTCAGGACCACCTGGAACATTGGAAGTTTCCCGGCAGGGGAACTCCTGGTGGGTGAAATCATCATCTCAAATTGGCAACCCACAAGGAGACAATGAGTGGACGAGAACTGGTCCTTCTTTCGACACTGTCCACTCTTATGGCAAGTTGGGTTACGGTCGTCCCGAATTGGAATCAAATGCGATCACACACGTCAATCTTGAGGAGGTGCTGTCTCGTTGCCCTTACACATTCGATAGCGACGATATCCGCAATCAAATGATTGGTCTATCACAATTTGGTCCTGAGTATGGTGCATTTCTTTAGCCGTAACGAATTTTGTCTTATCTTTTCAACAGGTTCACGCGAATCCTGAAAGCGTCGTGCAATGAAAGGGAGGTTTTGACATATATTAAGGGCCATGTGGATGGTCTGAATCGCACAGACTATGCCATCCATCCCGCTCTTTTAGATGCCACCTTCCAGGTATGTATAGAGCATCGCATATAAATACCGTCCTAATTTTATTCTGTCATCAGTCGATTTTCGCATGGAATCTGGTACGTAGAAACCTTCTTCATCAAAGCATACGAATTTAAAATGCATATACAGATTGGTGATAAGCTACGTCTTGGCAGCAAGAATGGCACACTACAGGTAGATTCTCAATTCGAATGAGCCCACCCAAACCATTTACAGTTGACATACAGCTGCCACACTCTGTTCGCCGCATATTCCGCAATGATGGCAGTACCGCTCCGCTGGTCCTGCCGGAAGAGTTTGTAGCTTATTCTATTCTGCAAGAGTGGTCGCCCCGCCACTGGGTAGTGAACATTTATATCTTAGGTGAAGATCAGTCGGTAGTGTTTACCGTGGAAGGTGTGTGGTTTGTTTTTCCGTTTGTGCCTCATATAAATTACTTTCCTCTCAAGGGCTTCGTTTTGCGTTGGTCCAGCGTGACGACCAGTGGCCAAGCGAGCACTTCAAGATGTATTGGCAACCTCGGGACTTGCCGCGGTCGCACCTGGAAGGCTCAGTTGTTCTTCCTGGTCTGCCACCGCATTCCGATGCTTCAGAGTTATTGCACGTTCTGGATCAACTTGCCATGCAGTTTACCAAGAAGACAATAGGGTTCGTCGCCTGGCTTTTCCTTCTGATGATACCGACAACTGATAATGGTGCATAGCGCTCTACCTCACGACTTCGCACCAACTTCGCCTGACCGCAAGCGCTACTTGGCTTGGGCAAATGCGCTGGCTACTAGGTTTGACGGGAACAACACTGATGTGCCGGTAGTCCCTGTTCATCTTCAAGAAAAGTATAAATCATTGTTCGAGCTCACTCGGAGGGTTGGTACCGGGCAAAAAGGTCAGCGAATTTCGTCCAGATATTACTGATGTTCCCCTCTCATGCTGGTACCTGTACAGACATCATAGCTTCGTCAACTGCCGCCGTTGAGCTGCTTTTCAGTGACGACGTCATGAGCAAGATCTACGAACATCCACCTTTCATTGGCTCCATATTCGATGAGACCACGTCGCGCTTCGTTGACCTCGTCACCGACGCACTGAATGCTGGAAAGCAGGTTGTCCGAGTCCTTGAGGTTGGGGCAGGAACCGGGAGGTTAACTGCACTGCTCGGGCGGGCTCTCTTGGAAGCTGCCCTGCCTGAAGGCTGCTACGTTGACTATGTCTGCACTGATGTCAGTATTTCGCTCGCACACGAGGCCACAGCGAAGTCCCCTTGGCCGACGGTAGCCGCCAAAGCCTTTGATCTGAACGTCGGTGTCAGCGAACAAGGTTTAGACCCCTGCAGTTTCGATATTGTGGTCGCCTTTGATGTTCTGCATGCTACTCCTGACGTTCACGGGACTTTGACGAAGCTTCAACACCTTCTCTGTCCTGGCGGTCACATTGCTATCTTAGAGTTGGATGGTGGTTGTTTCGCTTCCAATGAAACAGGCACAGTTTGTAGGTTTATTGTTTCCGTTTCATACACCTCGCCGATTGATGGTCTGTAAATAGGGATGGATTTCATCTTTGGGTCGTTCCAGGAGTGGTTTGGTGTTGTGGACCACCGCGTTGGATCTGCTCACTGCACATTGACTCCGTCCCAGTGGAAAGATGCCCTAGAGAAGGCTGGATTTTCAGATACTGTTCTTTTCACTTCGGACGGTGGTGCGGTGTCCCATATGGCCTTCATCAGCCAACACACGCGCTCGCTTTCATCCAGCATCTCATCGTCGGCGACGCCCAGTCTTTATTCCAGCAAGCGTAGCTCTCCCCTTTCTACCCCTCCATCGTTACTCGCTCAATCGCGGGAAAACGACCAAGCAGCCGTAGCCCTACCTCCCTACTCAAGCGAGGATTTAGCTATTTCTATTGAACAATTACAAAATGATGAAAAAGCAAGCAATAATGGGAAGCTCTTCAATTGGAGTGCGACTGAGGAATCAGAATCCATCTTGGTGCATACTGGCAGCACTCGCGTAGTACTCCGACACTTCGCCGCTGGAGGGGAAGTCGCACTTGTCGAATTCATTTCATCGCTAAATTCGACAGATCCACACCTCTTCTGGCTTTACACCACTACGTCCCCGAGCGATGCAGCCGCAGTTGGACTAGTGAGAACTCTCCGTCAGGAATACCCAGCCTGGAAGATTCATCTTGTCCTTTTCCCGGAATCATGGACTGTGGCAATGCAAGAGACTTATGTACATGCACAGCTCCTACCATTACCGTGGGTGGATTCCGAAGTGATGGTCGATCAGGACGGGAAGATGCATGTGCCACGCCTAGTAAAGGCTTCCCCTGCCTCTCGTCAGGAACTCCGAAGATCTAATCCGGTCCAATTCCGAGGTTCCGATATTTGGCGAGCGTATCCAGCGGAGCTTGGACCGAATGATGCTGAAGTATCTGTTCACTACATTGGATTGTCTCCGGCTATGTCTGGATGGACCGAGTTTGCTGGAGTGGTAACAGCCGTTGGCTCTAGTGTGCTTGAAGCCGACATCATTGGGCGCAGGTAGGTTCATCCCAATCCTGCCTGAATTTGCTTTTAATGTATGGGTTCGTGCAGGGTATACGGTGTTACTTCATCTGACCCTGGGAGTACTATTGTCTGCGACCGCTCCAAGCTTGCATTCGTTCCTCAAGACATGGAAACAGCACTGGCCGCTGCTTTGGTTGGAAAGCTTATGTTTTTATCGCTGGTCGTGGTTGATACTGTCGGCATATCTTCGAAGAACGCCAAAATCCTCCTTCACGCTGGCCACTGTTCACCGGCCGCGCTTGCGACGTACGCCTACTTGAATACCAACTCCTTCGACGTTGTTGTCACTATCAGTGATGCGTCATCGTCTACCCACGCCTTCACGCAGTCCCCCTTTTCATCCTCCAAGTATTATACTTGGTCATCTCACGTCCGCACCTGGGCTCCACAAGGCATAGACATCGTATTCAATTTTGACGAGGATATCGATGTGGCGAAGCAGACGCTTTCCATGCTTTCTCCTCGGGGCAGATTTGTTCAAATCGGAGGAGAGCTACCCAGCTCTCTCCCCCCGGGCCGTTGTTACGTCTCGATCGAAGGGCATGTCGTTCTAGAAGCTAGTAATGACCTCGATCGCAAAGACGGAGTCTTTGCGGCCGCTCTTCTTGCTGCCCTGACCCCAACCATGGATATTTACAGCCTGCCACAACTCATGGCTGCCGGTGCCGAAGCGCGCAATCCAACATCAGACCGTGTCGCTGTGGTCGACCTGCAGGCGATTTCCCCGGACCTTCCCGTGTTGAAAGGCGGAATGTTGAAAGGGACAGCTGTTTTTAATCCTCGAGCATCCTATGTGATTTTGGGTGGTATTGGTGGACTGGGTGTCAACATTGCTCGGTGTTTGGTGGAAAATGGTGCCAGACACTTGATTTTGACTTCGAGATCTGGAGAGAAGGTAGGGTGTACGTCTGCGTTCCAGTGGCTTTCTAATCGTATTCTCGTTAGGGAATAGAAAATACGCAACTAGTACGCGAGAGAAAGATGGTCAATTATCTTCGACGAATGCCTGGAGTAACAGTTGATCTCCGTGCAGTAGACGTTCTTGACGCTGAGAAGACCAAGAACCTGTTTATGAACCTGGAGCATCCGGTCGCCGGGGTTTTCTATTTGGCTGTCAGGCTCAACGATCAGATCTTCTCAAATTTGAAGACGGAGAAAGATTGGAAAACTGGCAAGTTGGCTACCGTTTGCTTTACATTCTCATGTTAACTCAAGCTTCAGTTTACGACGTCAAGATCAAGGGAGTCGAAATTCTCCTGCAAGCGGTCAATCCGCAGTCACTGGACTTCCTTGTTCTCACGAGTTCCATGGCTACTGTGTGCGGCTCGCCAGGTGAATATGAATAAATCATGACTGATCTCGTCAATCCTAACACAAAGTATCAGGCCAGGCAAACTATTCGGCTGCCCAGACCTACATGGAGACCATGGCAGCAGCACTTCCCAATACCGTTGCCATCACAGTGCCCCCTATCGTGAGTTCTGATCTGAAGCTTTCTTTCGCAAATACTGATGAGACACGACGTCACAGACCGATGGAGGTGTATTCGTCCGAAGTCTGCCTCCGGGTGACACACGTAATGCAGCCCTGGACAAAGTAAGTTGCTGTTTGCTCCCTTTACGCATCAAACAATAACAAGTTCCACGACCGTCACCAGTACAAATCCCTTGGAATGACTGGTTACCTTGTTGCTCAACACTGCGTGAATGCTATCTGGACGCTTAACTCCGATGCCTATAGTGCTGTCTATATTCCTCCTACTGACTGGAGTGAAATCATGCAGCGTGAGTCTGTCCTTCTTTTTCCTTCTTGTGCTTGGCTAAGCCTCAATTACTACAGTTGGCATACCTGAATACCACTTGTCGTCTCTTCGGCACTTGTTGATTAAGCAAAATGTTCAAACTGCCACAGCGGCCGAGGAGTGGTCCATCCGAGCGGCGTGCGCATCGGTGCTGGCCCTTAATGTCAACGAGGTTGCGGACAACGTCCCACTTTCAAGTTATGGTCTTGACTCGCTGACCTCAGTTCGATTGAGTGGGATTCTCAAGACCGACTTCAATGTTTCCGTGACTCAGCTCCAGCTTCTCGGAAACAGTATGACTGGTGTGTTCCTTCTGTTATAGCCTTGCAATGCATTCTGATGAGTTAATAGTCCAACGACTGATGGCTTTACAAGAGGAGCTGAAAGTCGACTCGTCTTCAGCAGTTGTAGGAACCGCCAACAAGGACTCGCTCGACGTGCAGGGAGCCGAAGGTGTCCACCATGCTGACATGGACAAAACGATTGTTCGACTGAACAACATCACCGACGGGCAGCCTTTGTTCATCGTACACGGTGCTGGCGGCGGCGTCCTCGTCATGTTGAAGACCACAGAAATGATGTCTCATCCTGTTTACGGTATCCAAGACACTCCGGATGCCCCCATTACGGGATCCCTCGACAGACTTTGCAAGTTCTACTTAGAGAAGATTCGAGAGAAGCAACCCAAAGGCCCCTATCGCCTCGGGGGTTTCTCATTTGGTACGTAGGCATCAATCTTACTTTTCTAAAGCTAACCCAGGATATCATTTTTAGGCACTTACGTGGCTCTTGTCATCGCACAGCTGCTGCAGGAAGAAGGGGAGACCGTCGAGCTACTCATTATGATCGATGGGGCGCCAGCGATTTTCCAAAACTTTGGCAACAAGATCAACATGAGCAATATGCGAGATGAAGTACGTCATCCGGGGAATATGTATTCAATAGTTAACTTTGCCACAGATCATGGTCCTTATCCGTGATCTTGCCACTAGCGGGGCGCTGGAAAATGGCGAGGAACTTACCGACATGTTCGAGGATCACTTCAAGCAAGTCTCGCAAGGCAGTTCTAGTAGGAAATTTGTGTCTCAATTCGGTCGTGCATACGTCGCACACATGCTCATGGCAGCCCGTGCTTGTATAACAACGATACGCCAGGAGCAAGCCGGGGAGATTGTGAACCCCGTATGGCCTGCTGCGAGAACGGTCGTTATCGCTGCGGAGGATGGCATTCGTCGTCAATCCGTGTCGGAAGGTCTTTCTCCTGCTTTCGACGTAGACTTGCGCGCCCCAGATGCAGAGTTATACACACTGCCGGGAACGCACTTCGGTATTCTCCACCCCCAGTCTGGGCTTCCTCAGCTACTCGAACAAATATTGGTGTCCTCGTGTTGAGCTGTTCTGTTGTATTGTAATTATAACTCCGTATTTCGCAATATCAATGTTATCTCCCGTAGCTCCGAAGGAGAAGTCTGACGGTCTGGAACGCTTTCCAGAAGGCCATGGAAAGACATCTACTACGTGCTGTATAGCATCTTCCGAAATCCATATCGGCCCTCGGTGCTCTTCCTCAGGCCCCTTGTGCTCAGCCAGGTTTCACGATTGTCTCTCGTGAGAGGATAATTTAATTGCGGGGGTAATGGGCTCCATCCATATTTATTGTTTGAATATTCGAACGCAGAATGGATGCACAAAATCGGTAGGTAGGATACATTCAACATCCTAGGACTGGACGTCGACTCGCCGACGGCCTTCGTCAATAGATGTGCGAATAAACGCGAAGCAGTTGCGCCAGGTGTTCGTGGTCTCTTACGCTCGCCGCTCCTCTTCCTTGCTCTCAGCCAAGTTGGTGCGGCTCATGTCGTCTTCGGGCTCGTTCTTTCCACGTATTGAATCTGTCTTCTACGCCGTTTTCGACGTTCGCCAGGGTCCCAAAATCGTTTATCAAGTCCCGGAAGATCTTATAGTGACTACGTCTGCGAATGTGTCCGCAAGCAACTCTCTTACACCCATCACACCTGCTTCGCCTGCGTCCTCCACTGCAGACAGCCCTTCTCTCTCTCGTTTTGACTCTCGCCAACTAACCAGTCCTCGAAAACGGCCTGCATCCCCTAACTCTTCGCTTCTTCACTTCGATGACATATCCAAGTATGTGATGCCGCCCAGCGCTCTTTGCGGCAGGCTGGTTATATTTGCTACAAGGAAACATCGTATCATCGGCTTTCCTGTAGAGCTACGAGGAAACTATCCTCGTAATTATTTCCGGTATAATCTATGCTTTGTCTTCGAGCGCACTGCGGACCTAAGCTGCTATGAGCCAGTCGTGCGGAAAGTCAGTCGTGTTCTCACTACCTGCGAGGTTAGTTCGTCCATGCAATCCTCGCTTTTGAAACGTTCAGACGGGCTATGCAGGAAGAGTCTGCGTTCTTGTCATCGCCCGAGAGTTCGCCTTACATCCATGCCATCCTAGAGCAGCTATACGAAGACTTGAACTCGTATTCTGAGACGTCCATCCCCATGGACAAGTTCAATTCGATTGAACTCAAGATCTTTCCATTTTATCCTAACCCTCCGCCCGTCAGAGATTGGCAGGTACCGCTTGCGCTGATCAATCTCACCAGGAGAGTTGAGCCAAATTGGGATTTGACCATGGTAAAGGTGAGCCGGAGGGCACACCACTGCATACACTCAGCTCAACTATTCCTAATTGTAGATATGCAAGTTCATAGACGGAACTAACCATGTCAGCCGAATTGCCCGTCTAGCGGATTGCGACCTTGACTTAACTCGCCAAGCCGTTGCACATCTGCTGTAAGGGAATACTCATCGTTACTAAGAACAATGCTAAGAGTATACAGCTATTATCAGGTGATCATGATGATCGACATTTTCCAATACTCCAATATGTACACACTACGCAGCAGCATCCAGTGGTTGGCTGATGAGTCTCACGTTCGGGACGAATGTGGCCCATACGCAACGAAGCCAGGCAAGTACTAGGAAACATACCAGAGCTATAATTCGTCAACTTACGTCGTATCACGTTTCAAGGGGCAGCTATCGCAGACTGGCCTCGACTATTGCACCTCTACTCTCGTCTGAAACCAGGAAAAACAGTGCGAGAATGGATGGCAGAGTATGACGTAAAATCGTATGGTATCGATGTCCGTCGATTCACAAGCTTTGGTGTTATCAAGGTCTGCTTTTCTTATTCACGCTCGTCTATCCTGAGAGCGGTTCATTGACGCTGATCTAGGGATTCCTTCGCCGTGTTCACCGTTGGCCGGTCCTGTCGCCTGAGATTGGTACCCCACAAGCGGATCGTCCACGCGAGGGAGCTCCGTCGTCCTTAGGTCGCAAGCGAGGAAAGACTGTCACTTCGCTCACGCAATCGCTCGACCTCCGACAGCCTTCCCCTGCTGAAGCCGCACAAATACGAGGGCGGCCCCAACACCCGCTCAGCGCAGGCTTCCCGAACTCTGCTATCACAGAAGCTAAGACTGAAACTGTCGAACGAGGGGTGACAGGCGTTCGCGCCCCGCCCACGCGGCGCGCGAGTGTGGCAGACACCTCGCTGTACCGCCATCGACAGCCCAGTCGAGAGCCGCGCACCCCGTTGGAGCAGCGTTTCAACCACCGTGCGTCACTACTTTCAGTAGGCAGCACTGTGGAATACGCACCGCCGCCCACACCCACGCCTGCCGCTGGGCATGGACATGGTAAGAATCGCTGGTCTGGCGCCCCTGGTGATCCCGGAGGTGGAGGGTCAGGCATTTCTGGGACGCTGGGGCTCCTGCGCTCTCGCATATCACGGTCGCCCTCTGCTCCGGCAGTGTCGCATGTGCAAGTGCATGCCCAAGCGCAAGAGGGCCCGGGGTTCCCGCACGAACTGCTGGAGTTGTTGGACGGGGAACATCATACGGACGAATTGTGTACGCGATTTGAAGTGGGGTGGCCAGTGTTGCGGCAGTGGCTTGTTCTTGCTGGGGGAGGCAAAGGGGATGGTGATTTCGGGCGTGTGTCGATTATATATCGGTAGTGATAGTGAGGGTACGTACAGTATGTTGCCAGTACACGATGACTCGCCACGTCTTAATACTGTACAGTACCTGTGAAATATACAGCCGCGTGGAGAGAATACATAGTGTTAATGATCAATATCGAGACAGGAACTACCCATCATACGACTTTCACCCTAGTTGCTGACTTGAACATTCTAGTCAGGCTGTCGTCCGGGTTGATTTATCCGACTCCAATTCCTCCTTCCCTATCTTGGAGGACTAGCTAAGAGGCGGGGTGGCCGATAACCAACGAGTAGGAGCTGAGCAATCATGCCAATGTCCTGTTTGCATTGACATATCCGATTCCATAGCACGAGAACATCAGTTCCGTAGACGACCGGTCCATCGGGTCGGCGGGGACGATCTTGAATGTCGTTCCAAAGCACGTTTGCACATCGCGCAGGAACTGGATTCTACAGAATGAAGCACATGGTTCATCCTGGAATACGTTGCTATTATCATAGACGAAAGACTTACGTCCTCTCGGTAGGCTCGCCCATTCTGCAACGACCGACATCTTCGCTCCCGAGGACCATCATGAGCAGCACCAACATTTGGTGTGCTCGATCTACGCAGCCGCCATGGCGCACCTCTGAGAGCAATGCGCGCGACGCTTGAAGCGCGATGTCTTCGGGTGCAACACCCGGTTGCGAGATCGCCTCGGCACTGTGTAGTGCACCGGTGGTGGTCTCAGCGAGGAGGCTGAGGCCATAACCTGGCGATCTATTGGGAGAAAAGAGGTTAGCTAATGCTCTGTCGAGGAGAGGAAGGAGACTGACGCACTTGCCGCTGTCTTCACCCTTGTAGACGTCGGAGTACAAATAGATGTCGGGGATGTAACGGTTCAGTACTGAGCGTGCCGCTTCGATCATGCGGTTTGAGAATTGTGGGTTGACGCGTACAGCATGTCTGCAGAAGAGTGAGCGAGTGACAGGGCGCATGTCAAGCGAAACGCACGAGATGCCTCGTATTCGCTTGATTTTTCCGCGTTCGACGAAGTGCAGGGTCTTGAGCTGCTTGACTATGGGGCACAGGAACTGCACCTCTCCTCCCCCTAATGGCGCGCAGCCGCGTTTTTTGATCTGTCAGTACGCCTCAATAGTTGTGCTGAACAGGTTGGAGACGAAACGTACCCGTAGCTCTAGTCCGTCTGAAACGCCAAAGAGTTGAAGGTACGGCAATGTTACGGTTCGAGTGAGGTCCGCCTGCGAAAACGACGATGTAAGCGGCTCGGCCTAGTGTACGGATTGAAGAATGGCGCACAGAGAGATCGCGGTCATCCGAAGTGATTCCACGCAAGGTCAGCTGGAGAGGCTTCTTGGAGAACGGGGCGAGCATGATTACGGGCTCCAGGAAGTATCCTATTGAGCGAGAGAGGGGACAGTCGTGTGTGACGGATCCTCCAGCAATGATCCCGGGCTTGACGAGGACAGCAGTACCTGAGGATGCGATGAACAACAGACGAGGGGGTCTGTACGATGTGCGCACCGGTGACCGAGATTTCGATGACTGTGCCATTTGTGATTCTCTCGAGCAATCTGAGCAGGCTTACTTCGTAGTCTGTGGTGATGTGAGCATCCAAAGGCTTACGCTAAAAAGCGGGTTACCTCTCAAACCAGGATTCTGGTCGTGGGGGCGAATTTTGTCGACTCTGAGGGGCTTTCCACTGACAATGGCGAGGACGAGGCGATGTCTGAGGCCGAGGTGGCCACTGAACTGGAGGGCCGCTGTCGACTGGGCCATGACGAGCAGCGCAGGCGAAAGGCGACGGCCAGAAATTTGAGACGGGCGCGATCGACTCGAGATCCCATCGGGACATGCACAGACGCGCTCCGCACGCGTTGCTCACCGACCGCGACGATGGCCACCGCTCCGACATCGACGACGACGGCGAACGGAAACCCGTCTGCGGCAGACTGGCAGGACAGATACCACCACGTAGACCAAGTCCTCGACAGACCAGGCCCTCGCACAGACCCCTCTTTCCTCGCAGGCGACGAGGTGCGCGCTCCCCTCCCCCTCGCCTCTGCAGCTCATCCAGCGCACTTCAGGTCAAGGCCTTCTTGCGCACCAGTTGCAAGATCCTTGTTATTGGGGCGGGTGGTCTAGGATGTGAGATTCTCGCCAACCTCGCGCTCTCGGGATTCAAGGACATTCATGTCATTGACATGGACACCATCGACATCAGCAACCTGAATCGTCAATTCCTCTTCCGGTGCGATCTCTCTTCCGCATTCCGTCCATCGCATGCTCACACTGATTTAGGCAGAAAGACGTGGGCAAACCCAAGGCGATTGTCGCAGCAGAGTTCATCATGAATCGCGTCCCAGGGGTGACCGTCACTCCGTGAGTAGCCCCCTTCATCTTTGGAGATGTCCTCATGATCGCCTCAGATATTACGGAAAAATCCAGGATAAAGATGATGACTACTACATGCAGTTTAATCTGATCATATGCGGGCTGGACTCCGTAGAGGCACGAAGATGGATCAATGCCACTCTTGTGAACCTTGTAGATCCTGAGAATCCGGAGAGCCTGAAGCCCCTCATCGATGGGGGCACAGAGGGTATGTGTAATAAACGAAGGGCCGTTGGAGGCCACGCATTCATTGTCTACTAGGGTTCAAGGGTCAAGCCCGTGTTATTCTCCCCACTGTCACGTCGTGCTACGAATGCTCCCTCGACATGCTCAATAAGCCCACCGCATTCCCGATCTGCACTATCGCCAATACTCCGCGCCTCCCGGAGCACTGTATAGAGTGGGCGTCTGTACTAGAGTGGCCCCGCGTCCATGGAGGTGCGTTGCAAGTATCGGACTACTATGCTAGTGTAAGATCTAATATCAAGTCTAGATAAGAGATTGGACACAGACGACCCAGAGCACATCGGGTGGTTGTACAAGATCGCCCTAGCACGTGCGAAGGAATTCAAGATCGAGGGCGTAACATGGTCTTTGACACAGGGCGTTGTCAAAAATATCATCCCCGCCATCGCCTCCACGAACGCCATCATTGCGGGTGAGCACAACGGCCTCCAGTGTTCCTGGCACGCGCTGAGGTACTACTATAAATGAGCATCGTGCTGTAATGAAGCGTTCAAGATTGCGACCAGTTCTGCTGCGTATCTGAACAATTACTTTATGCTCATCGGTACTGATGGCGTGTATTCTTACACATTCGAGCACGAGAAGCGCGATGATTGTCCTGTATGCGGAGGCCAAGCACTTGACATTTCTATTAGCAAGGAGTGGACCGTCGACCGGCTCATTGAGATGTTGGTCGAGAAACAAGACATGTGCGTCTTCCTATAATTCGATAAAGTTGGTCTGTTCATACTGACGCTGCTCGACAGACAAATCAAGAAGCCCTCGTTGTCGACAGCGACAAAACAGATCTATTTCCAGGCACCACCACAGCTGGAGGAGTTGACGCGGCCAAATTTGGAGAGGAAAGTGTCAGATCTCGTTGAGAACGGCGACCACATAACGGTCACAGCAGCCAGTCTGCCGTTCAATTTGATGGTACGGGTGACGTATGTCTAGATAATGCTTTGTTGTTGCTGTGCAAGCTGTACATAGAGTAGTAGAATCACCAATGTATAGTCTCCTTTGTATTGTATATTCCGCCAAGACGGTCTAGTATCCTCGATGTTCAAACTGAATGTACTTGGTCGGTTATTGGAGGTGGGATTGCCGCCCAAGTGTATTATGTGGCAACCCGCCCGTCGGACAAAATGCACAACTGCCGCGGCCTGACGCCCACTAAGCCAAAGTTGTTAACGGCTAGGGTCAGTGCAAGTTACAATCCCCTCGCCTTTTACTAGGGGATTCCGTGTATTGACCCTATTTATAAGCCGGTTTACCAATCTTTCAAGTAACACTTCTTCGTGAAGTCCAATATCTCTTTTTTATTTTAATTTTAATTTCCCCAGCTCGCTCACGAGGCACAGCGTAGGATTACTTTTTGTCGATATCAGAAACCCAGGGGTCTACAAGTATTGAAGTGGTACAATAGACCATGGTTTTATTGTGAGATCCGGAGACACAGATATGCAGAATCCAACTTCAAGTTGCCTCGGCGGCACTGTTAGTGCAGAGCTCAAAATCGAACTGAAGCCTACTCCTTGGGACAATGATCGACGACTTGGACAATAATCTTTGTCCCTGGCAAGTCCCCAGTCAGTCACCTCAATCTGAGCCACCGCACCTTCATACGACGTGAACGTTCAAGTTGATCATGTAAAAAGTTTTTATTGGCATGGGTGTACGGAGATATACATACGTATATCCTTTCGCGAGGGCATTCCGTGAGACAAAAATCAGTACGTAATGACTCAAAATTTTCGTATACATATCAATACGAGAAATCTGGCAAGATTGTTAAAAGGGTCTGCTGTACCCGACGGCTATACAGATACTGCGGACTCTGCGAGTGGCCAGACCTCTGCAGAGGCCTTGTCTCCATTTACTTGGCCCATAGAGTCCGTTGGGATATTGCTGGTCCACGTGGGCGCAGGGCCTAAGAGACGGCCTGGGTGAAATACGTTCATGATCAGCATGGCAAACACGATCATCATCGCGTCCATGATGACTGGGGGCTGAGATGAGAACACAGCCAGACAATTCGTCGCAAGATGTCAACGTACCAAAATAGCGTTGAGTGTGGATAATTGTTCCGTTCCATCCATCTGCAAGCTCCTAAAGATGTGTTGGTCAGACATAGAAGTACGAGGGCATTCGCCGCGAGGTGTGCCGGGGCATAAATACTTACGATTGTACGATACCACGAGCTGTCACGAATATTGGAGTTTAGTGACGTGAGTAGGAGAGGAACAGAGCTCGAGGAGGTACTAACCGAGTATATATGCATAAGCTACTGAAGGCGAGAGCAAAAAGCATCTGCTTCATATTTTTATCCAGGCCGTATAGAGTTGGTGTAGACCAGGCGTGGATGGGGCGATCATGAACATAGCGGAGTATGAACTCGGTGCCGAGAAGTATATAAAATGAGATCGCGACTATAAAGAACTAAGAAACAAATGGACATGACGACAAATGAGCTCTACGCACCCAGCTGGAAAATGATTCCAGCCAACATTATATTGCTGCCCTAATTACTTATGAGATAAACACCTCTTGATACTTACAACGACTTAC